TTCTTTTTTTTTTTTTTTTTTTTTTTTTTCCTTTTGCATGCTGTATAGTGATTCTTATGATTGTCGGTTACGTGTTCCTCGAAACCTCTGATCTAACAATCTTTGTAACAGGTAACGAAAGCTTTCTGTGCCAGACCGAGAAACAGAAAGACATACTCTATGTATTTATGTTGTTGCATTGCCTGCGTTGTATTTCTGTTCTGAATTTTATATCTGAATTTGTGAAGTTTGGTAACCACGACTTGAAAGGGAACTATTACAAGACTGAAAGGATACGTATGAATCGGCTCATTTTTAATTTCTATTTGGCACGCCTGATATTTGTTTGGCAAACACGTACAAGGGAAAGAAAAATATCAATATGGCTTTGAAGGGAGGGATTTTATTTCTAAAAGTAAATGATAATAATCTGGAAATTGTTCACGTGCTGTTACCTGTCTGAGAGTTTAGAAATGAGTCGACTCGTATAAATTTAAGATATATACGTGTGTCCTATCAGACCTAAATAAATCACATTGAAAGTGTAATTGGTTTCTAGAAACCTTCTAACTATAATTGGTACGACTATAATTGAAATTATTCTTAAATCTATTGAGTAAGAATTGCTGTGTACTTTGGTATTTTTTTTTCTTTTCTTTTCCTTTTTTTTCTTCTTTTTTTTTTTTTGGTTGTTTTTTCTCCCTTTTTTCTTTTCTCTTTTTCCATATAATTCGTCCTACGACCTGGTTAATTCAATATTGAATCAACTTTGTGAAAACTAAATCGACCTGTAGAACACTATACGTATATAATATTTTTAACAAAATACCATTCCAAAGTGTAATCAGTAATTATTGATTTTTATGGAAGTTAGGTATAGAATGGTTTTTTATCATAATCTTCAACTTACAGTATAATCTTCATTGGAAGGCCAAACTTCCATCAAAATTAGTGATTATAGCTTGGAATTGTAACTTGTTAATCCCTGAATGATCAGTTAATTAAAATATTATTTTTTTAAATATTTATATACAGATTTTAAAACAATGAATTGCAGATCATATAACAGTTCCATTAATTATCTCGTAATTATCTTATAATTTATTAATTAATTCTGGATATAGTTCTGAAGCACCAAAGACGACAGTTTAAATATACATGCTGCTGAGATGATACATATAAACAAATGATAAATAATATTTATTATCAAATGCTATATCACGTTATTGTCTATTATCTATCGTGCTGTTGTCTGAAATATTTGCTTCTCCTCTATTTATTTAAGATCTCTGCCATTCGTGAGTCTCGCGATTTGATGATGCGAGTGCGTTGAATTAACGAGGTCACACTGTATTGATGGTAAATTAATAATTGATATTTAGCATAATCGACATTAACAGCTTCAATATATAATGTAACACTCCATAGTAATTCCATATTTAGTTGAGACAAGTTATGACCGATTTAAGATATCTTTGCAGAATCTTGAAGACACGTATTTCGCAATTTACTGGTG